AATGAGGGCGCGTCAGAATACTACCTTATATATGTGTGTATATATATATATATATTCTTCTTTTACCGACCACTACAAAACTGAACCTTATCGTCTTTTTTTTGCTCCTTATCGTTTTACAGGTCAACCGCTCTCTCAAGACACTCCTTACATAACGTAGACAAGCGGGGTTATTATACAACCCCAAATCCTAAGCCCTAAACCCTAGACCGCAAATCCTAAGCCCTAAACCCTAAATCCTAAATCCTAAGCCCTAAACCCTAAATCCTAAACCCCCCAAATCCTAACATGCAAAGACTGAGCTGATTGGGGCGCCTTGCCAGAATCCAGCGGAGCAGACCCAAAGCTTTTGGCCTAGGACCCTTTAAACGAGAATTCTATGGAAACTCAGGGAGTCCTTAGAGGGTCTGTGCCTGAACCCGAACCTAGGATGGGTTGAGGGTTTAGGATTTAGGGTGTAGGGTTTAGGATTTAGGGTTTACGGGTTTGGGCTTAGGGTTTAGGATTTAAGGTTTAGAGTTTAAAGGACATATGCTTCAGCTGCTTATGAGAAGAGCGACACGTGGTCAAGAATCAACAAAAGCTCAAACAAGTTTCAAGGCCGCCCAAGCTGGACGCAAAGGCGGGCCAAAATGACGGCGTAAAACCCGTAAGCAGAACCAATCTTACCTTTGTTCGAACCATAGCGACCCAAATAATGGGGTTTTAGGGCACAAATACTATACTCTTACGTAATGGTATTTGGGACCCTGAATCCTATTATTTGAGTCCTTGGGGACCACAACAGAACCAGAAAATGATTTGTTCTGCACACTCGTCAGGTTGAAGTCTGTCCCAACAACCCCATGAAGCCCTAGAGTCAGAGTTTAGGGTTTCCAGTTGATTCTCCATTCTCTTCATCAGAACCCTAGACCCTAAACTCTACATCCCAAAATGCCTAAATCCTAAACAAGAAACCCCTAAACCTCTAAACCCCCGAACCCCCAAAACAGCCAAATCCCAAAGCCCCTAAGACCCAAAACCCGTAAACCCCCAGAAGAACCCCAAAGCCTTAAACCCCAAAACCCTAAACTGGCCTTTGGTTAGCTAGGAATGAAGGAATGGATCCTCATGGTAGTCCCTATATAAGCCATCATAATCGTTTCCGTTTTCTGTTCCATTCCTTCATTACCAGCTAAACAAAGGCCAGTCAACTGGGGTTCAGGTAATCATCAGGTGGCTGCTTGAGTCATCCGCTGCGCCGGGTAGTAGAGGAAGGCTGACCAGCACATCTCGGTCCTCGACTTTAGGCGGTTAAGGGTTTCGGGCTGAGGGCTTGCAAGCCCTAAAAGCCTAAACCCCCGGTTTAGGGTTCAGGGCTTGGGAGGCGTACTCAGATGGAGGGTTTAGGCTCGAGGGTTCCTGGTTTCAGGGTTCAGGGTTTGGGAGTTCCGTGGTTTAAAGGTCTGGACTTTTGAAGTTGCAGGGGTCGCTTGCCAGCACGGGCTGGCAGGGATATTGGGGGCCCCTTAACCCTAATCCCCTAAACCCTAAACCCTAAACCCTACACCCTAAACCCTAAAAACTTAAACCCTAAACCCTACACCCTAAACCCTAAAAACTTAAACCCTAAACCCTACACCCTAAACCCTAAAAACTTA